GGGGGACGCGCACGGCTTCCCCCGGGGCCGTAGGCGACCCGAGGACGAGGAGGAGCAGGAGGAGGGGGAGGGGGAGGAGGAGGAGGAGGAGGAGGAGGAGGAGGAGGAGGAGGAGGAGGAGGAGGGAGGAGGAGGAGGAGGAGGGAGGAGGAGGAGGAGGAGGAGGAGGAGGAGGAGGAGGAGGAGGAGGAGAGAGGAGGAGGAGGAGGAGGAGAGGAGGAGGAGGAGGAGGAGGAGGAGGAGGAGGAGAGGAGGAGAGAGGACGGGTCGCCTAAGCCCTTCGGAGAAACCCTCCAGGGGGACGATGGCGAAAATAGATACTCCTACTCTCCACCAGCCGGCCGACAACGCACACATCCGGGACCCTCCACCCTGCGCGCGAGAAGCAGTGCAAAGTCGAGGATGGCCCGCCTCAACATGAACATGACGTCGTCCACGAGGCCAAGTCCGTGGCGGGAGCCCGACGGGGCCGCACCCCCAGCGCGAGAGGCCGAGATGTCGCTCGGCGCCCCTTCGCCGACGCGCGAGCGAGCGAGTATCTCGCCTGAACCCCGCCCTCGCCCTCAGCCACGCCCTCGCCTCGGCACCGCGCAGATCCCGCCTGGAAAAGGTGTTCCCGCCTCGGTGCGGCGCACGTGCGTCAGTCCGCGATGTGGGAAACCCGCGCGGGTGCTGGAGGCCTGGAAATGGGCACCAACACCGACAAAAGGGGGGAGCCTCCACAGGGGGAAGAAGATCCTAGATGTCCAGTGCTGGTGGTAATATTTCGGCCACCCCGGAAGCCAGAATATTGCCACCAGCACCGAGATCGGGATCTTCTTCCCTCGGTGGAGGCAAACCGCCGATGTTGGTGTTGTGCGGGACGGGAAAATGACCACAGCCACTGCTTCTCGTTTGCGCCGTCTTCCAGCCGGCCGAAAAAGAAGCAGTGGTTGTGGTCATCTCCCTGGTGCCGAGCCTAACGAAAATAACCACAACCACTGCTTTGTTTCTGCTGGCTGGAAGGCGGCCAAAAGGGAGGAGCCTCCACAGGGGGAAGAAGATCCTAGATTTCCTGTGCTGGTGGTAATATTTTGCCAACTCGAAGCCCGAATTTTGCCACCATCACCGAGATGTTGGTGTTGGTGTTGTTGTCAACATCCAGGCACACCGAGATGTTGGTGCTGTTGCCACCATCACCGGTGGAGGCACACCGCCGATGTTGGTGTTGGTGTCAACCCCCAGGCCTGCGCGGGTGGGCCACCTGCCGCCCTCGCCCCAACATCCGTGCACGGCTCTCTCGGAGGCGGTGCCCCGCGCGGGCGCGGCGCGGACGCACGCTCGCCGCAGCGCGCAGCGCGGAGGCTCGCCAAGCGACAGCGCGGCAGCGCTGTCAGCGCAGCGCGCGCTTCCAAGTCGTGCGAAGCGGGGCCGCGCGCGAGCGCCTTCCGTTGGCGAGGCGGGAGCGCGTTCCGACCCAAGCATCAAGTTGTGCCGCAAGCGACTCTCGTGCTGTTGGAGGGAAGGTGGGAACAGGCCAGGCCCTCTGATTCCCTCACCCTGGCTAGCTTGACTCCTACTCCTGCTCATGCTCCGTCTCCTCCCCTCCTTCTCCCCCTCCCCCATTCCTCGTCCTCCTCCACCTCCTCCTCCTCCTCCTCCTCCTCATCCTCCCCCTCCTCCTCCTCCTCCTCCTCCTCCTCCTCCTCCTCCTCCTCCTCCTCCGCCGCCGCCGCCGCCGCCGCCGCCGCCGCCGCCGCCTCCGCCTCCGCCTCCTCCTCCTCTGCCTCCTCCCCCTCCCCCTCCTCCTCCTCCTCCTCCTCCTCCTCCTCCTCCCCTCCTCTCCTCCTCCTCCTCCTCCTCCTCCTCCTCCCTCCTCATCCTCCTCCTCCTCCTCCCCCGCCTCCTCCTCCTGCTCCGCCTCCTCCTCCGCCTCCTCCTCCTCCGCCTCCTCCGTCCCCTATGTAGACAATTCCCCTTTCTTTTTGGGCATCACGCGATAAAGGTCCTTTTGGGGGGTACCAGGTCCGCTATGACACCCGTCGGCGGATAGAGAAAAAAACAGCGCAACGGGAAGGGATGGTTGGGACGGGTGGATGTCCCCTCCCGCCTCCCCCTTCCTTCCCTCCCAATGCCCCTGCTCCCCAGCCCATGCAACCACTCCACTCGCGAGGTGCGAACGTACAGCGCTATAATGTGGAGCACTGGCCGGGATCTCCGCCTCTCGACGCCCCTTCCCTCCCCCACCCGCCGATCGTCTTGACCCGTGGCACCTCGCCTCACGCGTGGTTACAGTAGGAGCTCGACCACAGGAAACCTTCCACAAGAAACCCGACCCTGCGACCCCAGGACGTCCAAGGAGCTTGGGTGTGGAAACGTCACGTTTTCCATAGCAGAACCATCGAAACCCAAGCAACCCAGGGCACCCTGGAGGCAAGCGGGGTGGTTCTTGGCATGGATCCCCACTGTACGAGGAGGCCTCTTTCACAGGCCGGTGGTTTCTCGGAAGCAGCAGGAAGGAGACTGCCGCAGAATGTGGCGGTCTCGCGCGCAGCTCCGCCGCCCAAGCCAGGAGGCACCACAGAGCCCAGCCCCAGGCAGAAGCTCCGCCCCCCTGCCGCCGCTCACTCCCAGGCCGAGGCGCGGGCGGGTGCCACCTGGGTCGTGGGAGCACGGGAGCACGTGCCCCTTGTCGGACCCGCCTCTCCCCACTCCTCTTGCTTCCCCTCCTCGACGGGCAACATGAGGGGACCGGCATAGGGGGGCAACACCGAGCTCGGATCGGCGATGCATCGTGGGCAGCTGGGCACCCATCAGCAATCGGTGGGCGATGGGGGGTGGCTGCATTCCTCATGGCCTACGAGCCCATCCCCCTGATTAATGTTTTCTCTGACATGGTCCTCACGTATCCCTTCGACGCCTGGTAGAATATCTTGGGGCCACAACCTGGGCCTCCAGTGGCAGTTCAGGACAATCTTGGCACCTCCGAAAAGCTCTCGGTCAGGCGGAGCTGTTGGGGAGCATCCCAAGACAAGAACACCTCCAGGAACCGACGGCGACGTCCGCAAACGTTGCCCCTGACGACGCCGACGCCGACGCAGACGCCGACGACGACGACGACGACGACGACGACGACGACGACGACGACGACGACGACGACGACGGCAGCAAGGCTCCTACTCCTCCTCATGCGTCAACCCCACCCTCCGAGCCTCACCTCCCGTCGCCATCCCCGTCATCACCCCCCCCCTCTCCCCGCCGACTCCCCTCCCACCGCCTTGTGCTCCACGACCCTCCCCCCAATAGACCCCCCCCCCCAAGAGAAGGGAACAGCAGGGAGGGAGGGAGGGAGGGAGGGAGGGAGGGAGGGAACAGAAGCAGGAATCTTTGCCCCCTGGGGCCCACCACCACCACTGAGCCGTGCGTCCGGAGGGACGCGTGGGCAGAAGAGTGCGCGGTTGGCAACTCTTCAGGAAAATATGACCGAAGTGACACTGCAGAGCGACTGCGTGCCCGCACAGACCCGACTGCGAAGCAGAGGCGGAATGCCTCAGGACTGCGTCGCGGAACAACCCCGAGCGCACCACGGCTGCGAGGCAGAAAAAACACAGCGCATCGCGACAGTGGCATTCCAGAGTTGAGGGAGACGGAGGGGGGGGAAAGCGGGAGGGAGGGAGGGGGAAGGGGGGGGAGCAGAGGCAGGAATGCTTGCCCCCTGGGGCCCGCGGCGAGGAGCCCTCGTGAGGCCCTCCGGCGGGGCGCCCTCGTGAAGCCCTCCGGGGCCGCCGAGGAGCAGCCACCGCGGCGCGGCGCATCGGCGGGGGAGGGGCGCCTTCTGACGGCCTACCGGGCCGCCCCAATCCAACCCGAAGACCCGCATTTCGGGTTGCCCAATCGGCGGGGGTGCAGTCAACGCGCACGGTGGGGATGCCCGGTGTGGGTGCAAGGGCCTCGGACGCCCGTGCCGAGGCTCTTCGAGCGGGGCTGGCCTTCGAAAGAGGTTGGGGATGGGCCGAAGATGACCGAAGAGGCAAGGATGCAAGGGTGCCCTTGGGAAGTCGCTCATCCTTTCTGTGCGGGTTGACTGTACGGGGTTCATATGTGTTTTTTGTCAATGTTCCCCGACCCCCCCCCCATACTGGAAGTGGGGGGCAGATCGGGGCCTTCGGGTTGGGTTGGGGTGGTTTGGTGGGCGGCGAGGCTCAAGGGGGAGGCTCCGAGGCGGCATCGGCAGCGCATCGCCGACAGATCGGCGATGGGCTTCGGGGCCCCCGAACGGGGTGGTGACCACACCGTGTTTAGGAGGCAAATACTGGGAGGCTTTCGTCGGAAAAATTAAAGAGGATTAGGCCCCATTGGGGGGCTGTCACGCCGGAGTGGGCCTCGGATTAAAGCGGGATTAAGCGGGATTAAGACAGATTAAGCGGGATTAAGCCGGATTTCGGACCAGGGCAAAATCAGAATTTGACCTCCCAGGAGATGCATCCGAAACCGTGTGGTGAGTCGGTGGGGATCCGGGGTCACCGCACGGTTTTGGGACTCGGGTCGCTCTCCGAGGACGTCTCGGGCGACTGGGGCATCCGAGGTCCCAGAGCCATGCGTTGACGGGCCGTGAAGTGAGGTCTTGGGGGACTTCGAGGTCACCGCACGGGGCGGGCGGGGGGCGATCCCCTATCGGCGATGAATGGGCGATCGCGGAGGAGCAGAAAGGTACCGATCCCGCTGGTCCCCGGACCTCTCACGGGGTGAGTTCCGACAAGGGATCTATGGATCATCGAGCAGTGGTGGCGAGGACTCTCCAGGACGGCGGGGGGGAATCGGCACCCGCGCCTCCTGTGAGATCGGGGGTCGATGCATCCACCGCCCCTGAGCCCATCCCCCCTTCTCTGGGTTTCTTTATAAGCATGAGGGGGGGTACCCCCCCGACGGGGGTCAACCTCGCCTCGTCGTCTCGCCGCGACGGGGGTCGGAGCGCCTTCGGACTCGGAGTGACGTTGCCCCTGAGGCTGGCACGTGGGGCCTCACTCCTCCGCCGGGGCCGCGCGGGTGCTCTCGGCGCCCGCCGAGCCGCCGAGGTAGGCGGCCTCGGACTGGGAGACCTGAGGCCGGCGATCCAGGACCCCTCGGGGATCGGTCGAAGGCCCTCGAGGATCGAGGGTCTGACGCTGGGTCGGGGAAGGGTCGAGGACCGAGGATCGGATCGAGGGTCTGGGATCGGGGATCGGGGATCGAGAAACAATGATCCAAGGTGGAGGATTGATTGAGGATCGCCGTCCTGTCTGACAACGCTAATGATCGTGGCCTGACGTTATAGAAGGACTGGTCTGGTGTCAGGCACCACTTTGTTTGCGTCTGCCAGTTCGCCTCCTCCTCCTCCTCCTCCTCCTCCTCCTCCTCCTCCTCCTCCTCCTCCTCCTCCTCCTCCTCCTCTTCCTCTTCCTTTCCTCCTCCTCCTCCTCCTCCTCCTGCTCCTCCAACTCCTCCTCCTCATCCTCCTCCTCCTCCTCCTCCTCCTCCTCCTCCTCCTCCTCCTCCTCCTCCTCCTCTTCGTCGAACTCCCGACATTAGCTGAACGTGGCTCGGCACCGCGGCCCTTTGCACTGCGGCGGGCGCGCGCCTCGCGCCGTGGCCCCCAGCCCCACGCTGTTGCCCGGCGGACCGCTGCAGCCCAGGCCGCTGCCTGGTGGCGCTGCGGTGCACTGACTAGAGCACGGCATCGTGCCCCGGTTCTGGAAGGGTGGGCCAGCAAGCCGACTTCGCCTGTTAGTGTGAGAAGGGGCGCTGGAGCACACAAACAAATAAATATACACAAATGACAAGATTTCCCATGTGTTCCAATATCTTCTGGGTTTTCGTCTTCCCCCCCACTTCCCATATTTCCCATAGTTTCCATAGTTTCCTGGGAGTCGACGCTAAATTGTGCCTGCGTGTTTTTCCCCTCCTGATAGTGTCCTGCCCTCGAGCTAGTCACGGCTCGCTGTCGGCCGCGTTCACCAGCGCGGCATCGGAGACTAAGCAGGCTTCGGCCGGCTGCCCGCCTATTGCTGCGACGAGGGCAGGCGCGAGTTCGACTCGATACGCATCACGGTTCGAGGCTGTCCGTGGGAAAGGTTGTCAACAGACGCCAACAGACGCAATGAAGTGGACAGCGACAATGGTCGTTGGCCTTGTGCGGCTGCTCGCCAATGCGGTTTCACACGTAAAGATTCATCGAACGAGCGGTGCTACATGTGCGGGCGGGATCGGCAAGGGCACCCTGGTCCCTCTGGTGCCACACCACCTTGGCAACTTCGACGACCCGGGTCATTGTCGGCCTCGCGTCCTTCTCGACGTGATCGGGGAGACCATACGCCCGATGGCGAGGCTGACCCCGTCGCCCGCGCCAGAAAGGCACTTGCTGCCCTGTGTCGGGAGCGGCCAGGAGGGGGGGTCCAAGAGGGAGGGGTGCACATCATGACCGGCGGCATGTGCGCGGCCCAGGAGGGGGGGGCTGGGGACGTAATGAAATAAGAAGAGGCGCCATGAAATCTGGGAAAATCGCCGCGGCAGCCGGTCACCATAAGTTCGGCTGATGCCCTCGTGCGAGACGAAGGGCAACGCGGCAGACGGAACGAACTGCAGGCCGCCAAGGATGAAGGGGCCCTGGAACACACAAATCAACACACACAACTAGCAGGATTCCAAATGTTTTCCCCTATTTTCTGTGTTTTGTCCTTCCCTTCCACTTTCCATATTTTCCCACACACACACACACACACACACACATATGTAGATATATGTATATATATATATATATATACTAGGGAATCGAGAATTTATTGCGTCTGTGCGTTTCTTTCACCCCTGGGGGGCCTGACTCCAAAAAGAGAGAACTGCAGGCCGCCAAGGTGGAACTCGACGCCATCCGCCCGGAGGTGCAGGCCGCCAAGGTGGAACTCGACGCCATCCGCCCGAGGGTGGCCAGCGCGCGCTAATGTCATGGCGCCTGGCGCCAGCGCCGTTGCTGCGACGAGGGGCCTGGGCGAGGCTTTCAGCGGGCCCCAGGGCGTTGTCGCAGCGGCCCCTGCGGCCGCCATCGCGAGCAACACACCACCGCGGCGTCGGCGTCGATCGGGGCCCGCCTGGCCGAGCTCGACCCGCGTCTTCGAGGCGCGCAAGCGCGGCGTGTCCAGGACCGCCCGCGGCGCCTACTGGCGCCGCTGCTGGCGGCCCCCCTGCCAGAGCCACCCCAGGAGCCCACCCCTGGGATCCCCAGTTCGCCGTCGACCTTGAAGGCGCAACCCGCAGCACGCGACGCAGGAGGCGGGGCGCCCACGGCAGGGGATTGATCCCACCAGCACTATGAAGTCTGTTCAGCTCGACAACCGCAGGCGCGGGTTGCCTGCCACCGAGCGGGAGTTGAGCCTTCGCAACCCTAGCACGCGCACCTGGAATCTCCCAACTCAGGGCGGCCAGCTCCCGAAGTGCACCGAAACGCCAAAGCCCGAACTGACTGGGCATGCTGCGAGCGGTGATCCTGACTACCTTACTGCTACCTAAGTGGCGCAGGTGCAGCGTTGACAGGGACAGCGACTTGTGAGGGGTCAGCTCTGCCTGGTACTCTGCAACCTTCGCCATCGGCAGTTCCTCTTCGCCTCCAGCACTCTTGAAAGGAACAACTTCGGCTACTGGCACTTCGCGCGGGTCGCCTTCGGCCCCTGCGGCGCCCACAGTCATCGGGACTGGGCGAGCACTTTCTGCGTCACACAGGGCTGGACCACTTGGCCGCGAGTCTGACTGTCTGGCTACATCAGGCGCCATGGCCTCGCAGCCCACGCCACGCCCATCGAAGATTGAGAGGGCCGCGCACTTGCGTGCGCTGCCATCATAGCCTTCAGGAAACTCCGACCGCTTCTTCAGGTCTCCTTCGTGCATCGGGAGGTCTGCCATTGCATATTCGGATAACGGTAGGGTGCTGCGCCGACTTTGCCAGGGCATGGGATGATTGCCATGACTACGGACGATGGCTGCACTGATGCTGGCGGTGGCACTGTTCAAGCGCTGGCCACTGCATTGCCTACCTCGCGCCAAGTGGCATTGCACTTTGCGAACTCACTCCGGGGACCTGTCACCCTGCCAGCCCCCTCGACCTCCAAGAAGCCTTCGCGGCGCGCTCGTGAAGCCGGCGGCAGAAACCCGCATTCGAGCTGCAAAGTTCGATAGCAGCGTTTGGCCCAAATCAGAGATTTCTCGGACACCGGGCGTCGCGGCCACTTCATCGTCTTCGCTTGGGAACTCAAGCGCCGCGGCGATGAACGCGCGCGCGCAGGGGCGGGCTGCCGATCAAAGATGGGGGCCATGAATCTCAAATTCTCTGCATGGGAACGGCAACTTCGCGCGGGCGCTGGCGCCCCTGTCCGTAGTCACATAGGCGCTACTGTTCTTACTGCATGGGAAGATACTCATGCGATAGTAAGGCGGCGCGCCCAGGGGGGAAGCTAGGAGAGGCAGGCCTTCTCAGAAGGCTCGGAAGTCCCCCAGCCTTCCGAGAAGCTTTCGAACCTCTCCGCGAAGACACAAAAACCTCTCAGAAGGCGCGGGGGATTCTGAGAAGCGCCGCCGTCTTCTGAGGAGGCATTATCCTTCTCACTTCCCCCTCTTGCTCGCCGCCGAATAGTACATGGCCGCATTATTGTCGCGGCCCTGGCGCATGGACTCGTCGCAACTTCTGTCTGCCTGGAGCAGGGTGAGAAGCTGCAGGGGCGGAGTGCTGAGTTGTTGCTATCCCTCGGTCAGATCGGGCTCGTCCCCCCAAAAGCGGATGGTGGGCAACAAATAGAAAATACCCCCAAAACAAAAATGGCCCAGAGATCGCCCCCAGACCATCTTTTGACTATGTTTGAATATTCCTCCTGTTGAGGGACAGACCCGATTTAATCCTTGGGTCGTGCTTAGCCTATTATCGTTTACCTGTTCTTTGTTGGTGGCGACTGGACCGTCGACCGCCCAGTTTCAGGTAGCTGCATCATTCCTGAACGCTCGTCGGCTAGGGTGGCGGCACGCATCGCGATCTTAAGCCTGGTGGGCACGCAGGGTTTGATACTTGGCTTGCGAAAGACTGTTTGGCGAGTGCTATATCAGCGCCTGCTCGGGTGCCTGATTTCCATTTCTCGCAACCACCCCACAGTTGATTGCACTTCGGGGACGAATGCGATTGCGCGGGCCGTCAATGTCATCAAGGTGCCTCAGCCTCTGCCAGTTGCTCAAGCTGCTGTAATTCGCAATGGCATCGACCATGACGATGGCGAGGTGCAGTTCACTTGTGCCCAGGGTGATCCAGGACACAACTGGGCGAACACCATGGAGGCTGACTCGGCTCTGAAAATGGGCGACCCTAGCCAGCATCAGTCGCGACCTGATAAGTCGCGCAGCGATTTGCATGCTGGCGTTGAAGCGAAGCTTCTGCCAGTATCGTCTTATGCACCGCACCAATGCACACGACGTGCGGCTGGGCCTGCACACGGCAAATCTACCGCGGGAGGTGCGCTCGCGCGTCGTCGCCCCGCTGGCACAGCTTACTCGCGCCCTACGTCTGTCGCAGGTCCGAATGCACGATGCGCAGCTTGCCAGCACGCATGGTCAGTGCACAAACTGACGGCCTTGGAGATACCTATAGTCAGTCATGGCTTGCGAAGGCCACGAGAGACGCATGCGCGCACGCATACCTCATCCTGCTTGTAGCATCATCGTTCACCTTCCTTCGGCCACGCGCATGCAGCATTTCACACGTCATGCCCATATGTTTCGTTTTGTCGGCGACGACCTCGGTCGATTGGCAGAGCACCGCCTTGTCAGCACTCGTTCGAAGTCCTACACCCCGTGGCTGGGGCAACAGTTGCGAAATCAGCCTGGGCCCTTTCATCGGTGGTCTGAGCCGCGCGGCTGGTGTCTGCCTCAACTGGATACTGCCTTGGGCTCATCTAGTGTTCCAAGTCGCGCTTGCGATGTGCAACGGGGATCCTGGCCCGACGCCTGGGAAGGACCGATCAAAGCGAAAGCGAAAGCGAAAGCGAAAGCGCGCTGTGTCCGGCCGGAGGCCGACCCGCGAGGGCTGGAGCGC